ACCCCAAACCTGCAATAATAATAATGAGTCCCTAGTGGTCATGATTTCTCCTCAGTTTTATATTAGGCTCCTATTGTTTTAAAGGGACTTCCTCACAAAACCGACAAGACAGCATTTCCAAGCGTGCGTGGTATTGTGAAAGTCCAAGCCCAAATCACAGCCGTGTTGCTGTGATTCCTACCTGATCCTCATGAGGAAGGAGGGAGGGCAGATCTCATCCAATGAGGCCTACACCCCAGAAGGCCAGCTAGTGCTTCAGAAAGACAGGATTTCTACCAGGAACGCACGTGGAGGGCATCATGGGGACGCGCCTGGGCCCTGACCTAGCAGGCCAGGAGGACTTTCAAGAAGGGGTGGAAGTTGGGGCTTGAGCCAAGGGCAGGTTTTTCCAGGCAAACGGAGTATCTGGAGTGTGTGTGGGAAGGTTTCACTGAGGAATGGGCGTCTGTCAGCATGGCCCCCGGATCTGGTGCTGAAGTGAAATGATGTTTTCCTCCTGGACAGCCCTCAGTTACCCAGAGGAGAAAGTGGATTAGGAGGCCTCGTTCTCCAAGCCTTCCCTTGTGTTCACCTTCATCCCGTTGCCAGAGCAGGCAGAGGGCCCAACACCTGGGCTTTTACACGAGCCCCCTTCCCTCCTCGGTCTTTCTCTGTGTGAACCATGGGAGAAGGTGTTGCTGTCATTTCTGACGCCTGTTGAAGGTGCCCTTGCTATGAAAATGGGAGAAAGAAGAAAAAGGGCAAGAGCAGCCGAATTACGGAGACCTTCTGGGTTCTGGGGCTGATGTTTCATTAATTCCTGTCCGATTCAAGCCCAGCCCGGGCGGTCAGAGAGCGTCATCACCCATGGCGCCATGAAAGAGACTCACAGCCTCTCTTCTGTATGAAGGACAGATACTGGGCACCCTTGCCTGTGAAATGCCACTGAAAACTCACTTTTATTTTTCACCTAGAAGCCCTGTGAGGGAGGATTTCTCCCATGGGAAGAAATTCCACTGAAATCAAGCCTGTCCACCTTACACACAGACGTGACTCACAGCCTCTCACTCCAGGCACATGTGGCCTGCTCTGAAGATAATCTGTCATGTCTATCTAGGGTATTGCTCTGACCTGGACTGGGCTCCTCTCCATCCCCTCTCCTTCTCCCCAGCTCCATATTTAGCACCTGCTGAAGGCTGCATGTGTCCTCACGGTTTAGCATCCCTCTTTACTGCTGGGGAATAAGGCACTGGTTTATGTTGTATTCACTGTGGCAGATGATAAAGATTTCCCCTTCAGCTTCAGTTTTAATAGAACCACGAAGAAAGCTAATCTTATCTAACTACAGTAGAATCCCCCTATAGTTGATCGCCTCCCTGCATTGACCACCTCCTTAAGTTGACCTAATTTTCATTGACCAGACATGCACCCATGTACGTATCAGTACAGTAGGCCTAACTCCCTGTATTGACAGGTTCCTGATGGTCTCTTGGTGGTCAACTCACAGAGGTTCTACTGGACTGAGGAGTTTAGGAGGCAGACTCTGAGAGCTGACTGGAGGGGCTCCTCGGGGCCAGCTCTGGCCACACTGAAGGTCCCTTGATTGAACAGAGCCTTTGTCTCCAGTCTCACTCTTTGGGGCTCTCTGGGTGGCAAAGCTCAAACAGGCGTTTCTTTGTTCACATAATACCTTTATTTCTTTGGTTATTTTTTTAATTTCAATTTAAAAAGAAAAGGTTTTTTTTTTTTTTTTTTTTTTTGAGACGAGCTCTCATTTTGTCACCCTGACTAGAGCACCATGGAATCATTTAGCTCACAGCAACCTCAGACTCCTAGGATCAAGCGATCAGGCTGCCTCAGCCTCCTGAGTAGCTGGAACTACAGGGCCCCATCACCACGCCCAGCTAATTTTTTTATTTTTTGTAAAGACGGGGTCTGGGCCTCACTCAGGGTGGTCTTGAACTTTCGGCCTCAAGCAATCCTCCTACCTTCGCCTCTCAGAGTGCTAGGATCACAGTGGGAGCCACTGCATCCAGTCAATGTTTTTATTTTTATGGTACAAAAAGAAATCTCTCTCTTTTTTGTTTTTGTAGATTGAGATCAGAGCACCCTTTGCTGGAGAAACTTCTTTAGTGCCACTTCAAATTCCCCACTTACAATGAGTAATTGTTTATCGTCATGTTTAGTAATTATTTAACAATGTTACACATATCAGTAGGGTCTATTTATTGTGTGGTTACTGTGTACATACGGTTTGTTTCCAGTAGGTCCTCTGCTAAGGATTTTATACACCTACACATGCAAGAACCCTGTAATTCTGTGATGTGGATATTATTACATTAATTTTATAGAGGAGGGAACTGAGGGTAGGGAGTTTAAGAGAATCTTCTAAAGTCATCACACAAGGTAGTTGATTGCACAGCTCAGATATAGTTCTGGGTCTACCCGACCTTAAAGCCTGTGTTCTTAACAATTATGCCTCTTCGACTTCCTTTTACAGATATTAACTCTGGAAATTTGGCGTTAGCTCAATCAATTTATTAGAAAGGTTTCATTTAAATTAGCAAAAGCCTGACACATGTGCATTTTCCCTAATTCTGGTCCTGCTGCCTTGGGGCAAGATAAAACTGAAGCCTGGACACAGTGGCTCATACCTGTAATCCCAGTGCTTTGGAAATCCAAGGCAGGAAGATCATTTGAGGCCAGGAGCTTGAGACCAATCTGAGCAAGAGTGAGACCCCATCTTTACAAAAAAATAGAAAAATTAGCTTGGCTTGGTGGTGGGCACCTATAGTCCCAGCTACTCGGGAGGCTGAAGCAGGAGGATCATTTGAACCCAGGCGTTTAATGTTATATGAGCTATGATCAGGCCACTGTACTCTAGCCTGGGTGACAGAATAAGACCCTGTCTCAAAAAAACAAAACAAAACCTCCTTTAAAATGTCTTAAGAGGTCTTGGCTCTGGATTAGGTCACAATATATTTAAGTGGTCCTTTGGTCTAAGCAATAACTGAGATCCCACAGATCTCCCAAGGAGTTACTCCACAAAGGTCTGATGACAAAGAGGGTCTAGGACTATCATGCTGAGAGCAACCCAGGGTGAAGTCTTCAGAAAGGCTCCAGCCAAACACTTGGCATCCCGTGTCTATGCTATGGACATTCAATTTGGGGTATTTTTTGTTTATTTTGTTTAGCAGGTCTGGGTCAAGTTCGAACCCACCAGCCCTGGTACATGTGGCTAGCACCCTAACCACTGAGCTATGGGCACCCAGCTGATTTTGGGTATTTTAAATGGATAGTAATGGAAATAGACAACTTGATGTCTCTCTGTAATTCCTGTATGCCAAACTCTCAACATGCTGAATCCTTGCAATAATCATATGAGGAAAGTGCTTTTCTTATCTTCATTTTTGTGAAGAAACAAAGACTCAGAGAGGTTAAGTAATTTGACCAAGGGAATCCAGCTTACTTATGTTGAAAAATACAAACACATGAAAATCATGTGAATTACTTATTTAACTGGCTCATTTGCAAAGGATATTAGGTATAACTAAACTAAGTAGGTTGACAAGAGTAAAAATGGCTTGGAAGGGAATGTCTGGATTTAGGGTTGAACTTTAAAAATTAATTGAGAGTGATTTCAAAAAATTATGTTTCTGTATGATTGTTTGCTTTTTTTAAAATCACTTTACATGTCACGTGTTGGGAATAAGCCCAAATGGGATTAATAATCTTTACTCTGGAGTGGCGCCTATGGCTCAGTGAATAGGGCACCGACCCCATATACCGAGGGTGGCGGGTTCAAACCCGACCCTGGCCAAAATGCAACAAAAAATAGCCGGGCATTGTGGCAGGCACCTGTAGTCCCATCTACTCGGGAGGCTGAGGCCAGAGAATCACCTAAGCCCAGGAGTTGGAGGTTGCTGTGAGCTGTGTGGCACAGTGAGACTCTGTCTTTACAAAATTATAATAATAACCTTTACTCTGAATTTTGTTCTAAAGATAATTCCTTTGAAGCAGGGGTGGCCTCGTGATAACGCACCTTGGCAGATGGTAAAGGGGCTGCGTGGTGACAGAGCCCTCTCACCTGCGCTGAATGAGAATTTATTTGGCCTTTTCTTGAAAATCAGATTCTGTCACATTTATGCAGTCGTGTGTTTTAGTGATAGACATGGAATATAACTTTCAAGCAAGTTATTCTGTTTAACCAGAGGCCTAGTAGAGTTCCTGATATGCTGGTGGTCATACAAAAACATCAAGAGAAATAATTCAATTCTCACAACATCTCTGAGAAATGGTTTCTAAGTTTATCACAATCCTGCAGATGTATAAGCTGAGGTGTGGCATTTAAGCAATGTGCCCAAAGCCACACTGTTATGTAAGTGACGGGGCCTAAGTTCAGACTCAAATGACCCCCGGGCCAGTCCCTGGCAATTATAGCAATTATAGATTTGGAAAAAACTCAAGGAGGAAAAATCATAGCAAATTTTTGGAGTTCCGACGATTTCTTTTCTCCTCCCTCAACACAAATTCACCCATAAACCAAAGACTGATCAATCAGTAAATGAAAGGAAAGGCGTTCGTGTCCGTCACTCCTTAAACTTCTCTTTCTTGCAGTTCCCACGGTGGCTCGAACCCACTGTAAGAGGGGACAGTGCTCTCCGCCCCCTTCCCCACTTGGTGGAGCAGACGCTTGGGAACATCTCATTCACACGGCAGGTGCTACTGAGGTCTTTTTCATGTTGCCATCAGAGAAGTTGTTTGTATTTTTATCACTAGGCTGATTTAAAATCAGCTTCCGCTTCTTGACCAGGAGGCGTTGGGGCGGGGTGGGGGGTGGGGGGTGGGAGGGGCAGAGACAGGGCTTTCTTTGCGGAGGGGAAGAGTGGGGTTGCACAAATGGGTCTGACGGCCAGGCTGGAATCAGCCCACATTTAATCAGCCTGACAACCGGCAAGCTCCCCATTATCAAAAAAGGCAAAAAAGAAAGGCTCACTTTCCTTCCTCTCTTTCTGTTTCAGTTGAAGACTCAGCATTGAGGTTTTCGAAGTCGCTGGTGCACGTCTCTCGGATGGATGGGGAGAAGTAACAGTCCCCAGCTGGGGGCAGAGGTCCGGTGAACTCAAACCCATCGGGCTTTCATTCCCCTTGCTGAGTGGCATTTGCTGCAGCAGCCCACTGAGGGCTCTTTTCCTTGGGATTCTAGAAGTTGTGAGTGGGACGCGGGGCCGGGAAGAAGATGCTGAGCTCCATCAAGTGCGTGTTGGTGGGTGACTCCGCTGTGGGGAAGACCTCTCTGCTGGTGCGCTTCACCTCGGAGACCTTCCCGGAGGCCTACAAGCCCACCGTGTACGAGAACACCGGGGTGGACGTCTTCATGGACGGCATCCAGATCAGCCTGGGCCTCTGGGACACAGCCGGCAACGATGCCTTCAGAAGCATCCGTCCCCTGTCCTACCAGCAGGCAGACGTGGTGCTGATGTGCTACTCTGTGGCCAACCACAACTCGTTCCTGAACTTGAAGAACAAGTGGATTGGTGAAATTAGGAGCAACTTGCCCTGTACCCCCGTGCTGGTGGTGGCCACCCAGACTGACCAGCGGGAGATGGGGCCCCACAGGGCTGCCTGTGTCAATGCCATTGAAGGGAAGAGACTGGCCCAGGATGTGAGAGCCAAGGGCTACTTGGAGTGCTCAGCCCTGAGCAACCGGGGCGTGCAGCAGGTATTTGAGTGTGCCGTCCGGACTGCAGTCAACCAGGCCAGGCGACGGAACAGGAGGAAGCTGTTCTCCATCAATGAATGCAAGATCTTCTAGACCCGAAGAGACTTTCACCCAATTCTTAGGTACTCATCCCAGATGAACGGGGAGAGGGAGTGTGGACAAGCCAGGAGGGGTCAGTGCTCTTTCTGGATGCAACTTGAACAGCATTTCCTTTTGGATACAGTTATTGACAAGCCTTGGCCACTGATGTTTTCACTAGCTACACTCTACAGAGGAACTCCTTCCCTGGTCCAATTAGAAAAGTCCTTGGGAAGCTGTAATGAATATTCCACCTTCATTTAAAAGATAAAATAGGCCATGGGGGTGGTGGTGTGCACCTGTAGTCCTAGCTACTTAGGTGACTGGGGCAGGAAGATCACTTGAGCCCAGGAATTTGATGTTGCTATGAGTTATGATGCTGTCACTGCACTCTAGCCTGGGCGACAAAAGGAGAGCCTATCTCAAAACAAACAAGCAAATAGATTAAAATAAGTTCCATAATTTTGGGCAACAAAGTGACTTCTCCAAAGAATTCCATATTTAAAGACACATTTTATTTAAATAATAACAAAATGTATTGCTCCTGTATATATAATTAGTTTTCACACTTGGAAAATCTTTTCCTACATACTCAAAAACACAAACTGCTGTATGTGTGAAAGAACCTCGCAGATCTCTGCCATGTGTTTGTAGTGTCTTTATTTTTGTCTGAAATAGTAATTTTGTTGAAACCACTTGCCTGCTGGATTTTACTAAGTAATCAGATTTTTAAACTGATCCTCGCAATTCATTTCTTACCTACCTGTTATTCAGGGTTGTATATAAAATATAGTTTCATAAAATAGCCTAATCCTGCCTAATGCCTTTAAGGTTATCACTGTATTTCCCTGTAATTATAAAAAAGTATTTATTTACGATGATCACCTTTCACTTAAAGAACACCAACTATGCACTAAGTATCACTTTCTCATTCACCAAGACAGATTGAAGCAAAATCTTTCAGGTAGGGAATCAGATTGCTCTGAATAACAGCCACAGAACTTGGAGCAGAAGTGGGGAGTCTCTTTTACACCTGGAACTTCTGATCCTTGCCTGCTTCTTCTGACATGGTAGTTCCTCTCTTGCTGGAAGTCTTGTGACACACAGAAGGCTCAAAGTACGGTGTGATGGTAAATTTGACATATAAGGGGAAAAAGGTAGAATTGGTAGCCTTTACAATTTCATGAAAGTGAATCACTGGGATGAAAAAAAATCACAAATTCTGAGCACAGGGAATAGGAAAGTCATATAGCAATTGCTCAGATAACAAAATTATCAGGGAAAATTCTGAATAAATAGGGACACACACCCGTCCAACCCCATTCTGTCTACTAGATCAGATGTTAAAGTTGAGAACAGAGGACCGTGTGAGTTGAGGGATAAAGCGCTAATAAGGCCGGCACCCACATTATCATTTACTACTCCAATCAAATAAGACTTAGAGTCAGGAACCACGTTTACGAAAGTATGTTATTGGGGGGAGAGGGCAATGTGGCCATCACACACAAAAGAAGGCAGTGGCATAAATGATGATTAGAATGATGTTGCCATAACCAAAGCAGTTTTCTGTTTCCATGTGGCGTCAGTTCCTCAGAGCTATGATCAGTGTACAGACCAGACTTGTTCTCATCCCCACATTGCTTTCTCCTTCTGATCTCTCTTCTCCCATTCACAGCAGGAAAGGCCTGGGCCCCGGGTCTTAGTCTCTGCTGGGACAGCTCTGACTCCAGGCCCAGGCTTGTCCTTGCCTCTTTGTCACCAGCATCCATCCCTTGACTTGAGAGTCCCTAGCTCCAGCCCTCAGCATAAGGTGTCCTGAAGATTAGGGGCTTGAAGGCTGACCAGGCCGGGATTGGGGGTGGGGAGAAGATGGACGCTCGTATCCTATGGTGGATCTCCCATCTTCTTCCCTCCCCATCCCCACAGGATCTTAAATAACAAATACAGATCTTCAATGCTAGTCTTTTTGTGGGAGGTATTTCATTCAGTAAGAATGAATTTCTGTTCACTAAAATCGGCTGTCTTTCAAGCTTTTCTTTCTTGTTGAGGAAAGATGGGGGTTATCTGAAAGGGGAAGGGCCCGGGAACCCGATTCTAAGTGAGGGAAGAGGAGGTGGTTCTTTGGTGGAAGTGGAGGAGGAAGGAAGGTCAGAAAGGGCACAGTCAAATGCCTTTGCTGTCACCCACGCAGAGAGCCACAGATGAGACCGCTCCTGTTGGCAGGAGCCAAGCTCAGTCCTGAGATGAGGAATCTGTGTGCAAAACCTCCCCAGGGCTGGAACTTGGCAGGAATGGCACCAATCAACATCTGTGTCTCCTGCCAGACCCCAGTGTCCCCAGGGCCCAGCACAGGGAAGGAAATGTGGCCAAAGTTATGCTGAGTTGAATTGGAGAGAGGAAGACAGGGCCTCCCTCTGGCAAAGTGGGTATGGGAAGTCAGACCCTCACCGGCCCTGCAGGTGAAGATAGGCCATCTTGGTGGAGTTTACATACTGGATGGCATTTGAGTGAGCAAATATTTATTTCTGCCTGCCTAGATCCAGACATATGTTTCTTACATTTCAAAACCTGTAGTACTGTTTTGTTGACTATTACATGTCTATCCTTAACTATTCCAAACAGCAACATTAAATATATTCTTGTTGACATTAAAGAGTTGATCTGAGTGCTGTCTCAGGTGGTCTGGGCTGCTGTGGTGGAATACCACTGACTGGGTGGCTTAAACCGCAGACACTGATTCTCACGGTTCTGGAGGCTGGAAAGTCCAAGCTTAGGCCCAGTGTGGTTGACTTCTGGCGAGTGCCTTCAGCCTGCTTTGCCATGGCGGTCTTCCTGCTGCGTTTTCAAGTAGCAGAGAGAGACCTAATCACCTCCCAAAGCCCCCACTTCCAAATACCATCCCACTGGAGATTAGGCTCTGACAATGCAGAATTGGGGGGGGGCACAAACATTCTGCCCATAGCAATGCTATTCTGTCTTACTTTTTGCTGACTGGTTACATGGGCAGCAGAATCCAACGTGATGAAATTAGGGTGAGCGACTAGACAGCTGGAAACAGTCTAAGGGTTAAAGCTTGTTCAGGGTCGCAGACGTGCCGGGCAAGGGTGAAGCAGTTACGCATGCCTTATATCACCACGTGTGTAGAGGGTCACACATGAGGAAACTGAGGGTCAGCTTGTGGACAGGACAAGTCCAAGCCCAGGCAGCAGGTGAGAGGCAACACCAGGAGTGGTTGAGCTGGTCTGGGCGACTGCACAGCTCTGCTCACCACCTCTCTCCCTCGTTTCCTCCAGGGCCCCTTCACTGATGGCTTTGCCACTTCCGACCTCTGGTAGCTCGCAGGCCCCTCCTCCACCAGTCAAGCGGCCTAAATTTAAAGAATTATTTCTAAATAAGGTATTCCAAGTCTGATCTTAGTTTTCTCCTTTTATTTTTCTTTCCAACAATAAGTACAAGACTCACCTAAGTCAACAGAGCACCTTCATTTGCAAAGATCCCTGCTCCAACTGTTGGCTTTTACAAGTAATTTCACAGGCTGATTTTGTGTAAATTGGCAGAGATGAAATGCATCATGATTTGATGCTTTAAAAAGCTTGGGAAGTATTCTCTTATCTCATTTTTCTACCCCTCAAGTTTCCCTTTGAATTAGGGAGCGATGGGAGAGGAAAGTGATTCTTTCCTTTTAAGGATTTTTACGCAGAATGAGATGAGATGGAAGGATTCCAATTTGGTACATCTGTAGGGTTACCTGTGGCAGAGGGGACAGGGTGTCTGTGAGTGTTCCTTCCCAATACTGAGATGGCAATATTTGCAGGTTAAGTAAGATCAGCACAACTCAATGGTACAGACCTGCTTTTCCTGAGACTGTATCTCAGACCAAATAAACTATGGAAATTAGTGATATAAGTTAATAAAGAGTATTTGAATAAACCTAAAGTCCATATGAGTTTTTTGGACCTAGAACTAAATACTCAATGGTAGATAGACAGTCACAATGAAGGAATAGGAGGCCAGACAATTGTGGTGAAGTTTGGAGTCAGAAAAATCTGCATTATGTGTTTTTCAGTCTCAGTTTCCCTTTTTTAAAACAAAGATACTAATTTCTGGGATACTCTATCATTATTGGTAAATAATGACTGTGGAAGTGCTTTTACCTGTATACTATGGCTCAAATGGTGGTTTCATTATGTTTTTGGTAGATTGCCTACGCAGATACATAGGCTAAATAGTCCAGATCAGAGTAGAATATTCTAGAACACGTCCATGTGGGCCATCTGATGGGACACCTACACAGATGCAGGCTCCATTTGTAACACTGTTAACAACAGTAAGATGAGTAAAATGACACACAAGGATAATGAAAATGGTAACAAGCCACATCGGAAGGCCTCCTGGTCCCAGACTCTGTGTTAAGCACATCTCATCTACTGGTCGTAACGCGCTCACAGGGCAATCTCTTTCTGTTGATCAGAAAACGAGGCTCACAGAGATGTACAGAGATATTTCCCTTTTACAGTTACTTTTCTTTTTTTTTT